CGAATAAGAAAAAAAAATCCAAGGTTTTTGTCAGCAGCTTTTTGTGTTAACCAGGAATAACGTCTATACTGGACTATTCACGAGGCTGCTTCTGTCTTCTAAACCCGCTTATCTCGTTTCCTTCCTTTTTTTGGTACAGGGGTCCAAATTTGGTTCTCGACTGCTGATTGGGTGTGATGCCGTAGCTCGCGCGTAATCAACCAATGAAACATTTATGACCCGTTCGCAAGTTCACAATGGGTCAATATTTTGGCAATCCGGAGGCATGCGGGCTAGAGAAGCTCGTTTTAGCGAACGCCGTTTTACCGACACCAGTTTATCGAATTCTTTTATAGAGAAACCAAGTTTAGAAGAAATGGCGATGAGCCTCCTTTTAGTGAATTCGGCCGCCCCGAAGCGGCGTGCATAGGATAAGTCAGGTCAGTTAGCATTTTTGTAATAAGCTGCCGCCAAGTCTGCAGCCGCGAAGCGGCTGGAGCGCAGCGGGGGGTTTGGGTTAACACGCGCACCAGTGATACACGCGCGAAGTAGACAGGGGAGCACGAGTGCCCCCCTTGCCCCTCCGGTTGGTACGCCCATGGTAGCGTCGGTTGAACGTCAGTGCGCTGTACGCCAAACTGAAGTTTAGGGGGTTCGTATATGTGATAAGGGGTGTAAGGGCTACACCCCCTTTTTGTGTGTGTGTGTGTGCGACGTACGGTGTTTACTGTTTTTCTTGTTTTATTTCCGACTGCGAAGGCCGCTTCATAGTAGCAGACGGAGCGTCTGCGAACGCCATCTTGCTAGCTACACGAGTGGCAAATGAGTTCTCGCTCTCGCTGTGACCAAAATCGGACCCCAGGTATACAGTTTCTAAGCATTCTGGTCACGCGCACGTTCTCTGGAGGTTGACGAATCTCATACCCGTGTCCGATTTTCTTCAACGCAGGTCGCCATAAATACCGATTTTTTTACCCACACCAACAATTGGGACTGCATTTGTAGAAAAAAAAAAAAAAACACTTTCGAGAAAACACTTTCGAGTCCGAAGGACAAATAAACTCCTAGAAAACGAAACCGCTGTTATAAGTAGGAACTCGACCAACTTATTGTTTCGCATTTCATACAGGGAATAATCTATACCCGTTTCCACCTCAAGAAAAAAATTGCTCAATGTTCATACGCCGCGCTAACTAGTTCTTACCAGATATGTTTGTTGGAGGCAGAAGCGGTGCTTTTGTCGTTTGAAACGTCGACTTCTTGATAAGGTAACACACTGTAGACGACTTATTTTTCGCGGGCTCAATATTTCGCGATTTAGGTCAAAGCTGAAGTTTTGGAATAATTCGCGGGTTCCAATTTTCGCGACGCGGAGGGTTCTCAATATAGATTCCAGCGTCTTTACATTTTACCGGAATTATTCGCGGAACCTGTTTTGCGAATTGTAGGCGATTCGCGAAAATTGGGTCCTCGCGAAAATTAAGCCGTTTAGAGTATATCTCATCTAAAATGCACCTACATTTATCTCAATTCTGAGCATAAAAGGGAAATTAAAAATGCTCCGCGAGAAGTCGTACTCTTTTTTTTACTACGGTTCTTGATGTATAGTATAGACGCATAGTATAGTAAGATGTATAGTAGTGCAAGACAGTATAGACCAACACGCAGCCCCGACGTCACGCAGCTGCGGTGGCGCTGTCGACGGCACTGTGCATGCGCAGATGCTTTCCTTCACGCGAATTCCGTTTCTGGGCACGCGCAGTGCCCGCATCTTGTGTGGGCAAACGCGGTCTTGTTTGGAAACAGCGCGTCGGTCAGCACTCAATGCGATTGCCAGGAGGAAGAGATCTTTTCCCGAATCCAAGCGCCCCTGCTGGCACGAAATGAATTTTTGGTACCAGTTGGCCACTTAGTTTTGGTTTCAGTTTCAGATTTTGCCATGATTATCGTGTCCTGAGGGAATACGCTGCTTGTGTTTTCATTACTGTGACTTGCTACAAGTGTGCAATACTGTAAGCATTGCCAAGAGATACCGAAAAAAATTAATAAAACGCTGGGCACTGTTTTTGTGGATTTCGATGTGCAGGATTTTGGGCAAAGGTAGGCAAATGTAGAACGATGGATTGCAACGTCCCTGCTGGTGGCCCTGTCGTGCAAGCACATTCGCATGCGCGTGAAGAAAAGTTATGCTGGCTTGAAAGTTCACGTGCTTGGCTGCACGAGTACAGACAGCGGCTGTACGTGTTATCGAAACCGAAACCATGCCACTCCGCTCCGTGGCCAACTGGTTCCCAGGCTGCAACGCGCGCAGTGTTGCGTAAGATTGATTTGTTTTTTTTTGTTTTTTTTAATTGGCCTGTTTTAATTTTATCGATGCTGCGTGTCTACTCCCAAAAAACAAATTGCGCATCTTGAGTGGGCCGATTCATCACTGTGTGGAGAAAATTCATTCCTTCAAGTTACAGTGAAGGGTAAAAGTACGTTCCGTATACCATGAAGCTGTAATTTACATCGACGATTCAGCTAAATGAGTCATTCGTTTTGTAATATTTCACTTATCTCATCCACTTATCTCAACCAAACGTTGCTACCAAAGTTCAAACTTATCTATGGATTAACATATAAGTTCACGAAAACAAAAGCCACGTCGCTGCTTTTGCAGCATTTGTTTATTTTAGAAAACTTCTAAAGACCGTCCGCTTCTTAACATTAAAAAAAAAAAAATGTATATATATATATATATAACTCGGTGTTTTGCGAAGTCGCACATTCAGTAATGAATAACGAATATATATTCATAAAACAAGACGCCCCAATCTGATAAAACAGGAAACGATATCTAGGTTAGTATCATTGCCTTCTCTTCCAAATTTGTTTAATCAAATTCAACATATCAGTGAACGAACCAAAAACATATTAAATCCGCGCACAAAATGTGCTCTATCGACGCCTCTCTCCATAGGCACATTCCGCGGCAAGTTTTTCCTATAAACTTTTACGAAACAAATTCAACACCTGACTGCTTCTTTGCAGTAAATTACATATCACTATAGAGTACAGCATTTACTTAGTTTGAGATTTGATCCCTGTCGTCCGAGCTGCAGGATGCCTTGACATATTTTTTATGCGTATAGTAAACGTATAAAAACGAGCGAATACTCCGAAAATGTGGAAATATCTTGAGGAAATATCCTTATTTTCTAAAAAAAAATATAAACGTAAAGTGACTGTGGCAAAGTTAAAAGGAGTACAATTTCCGAAGCAAACGTCAGCCCGATGCTAGCAGAAAGTTTCGTCTAGACCTACACCTCAATTAACAAACGGAGTCCAGCAGGGAAGAATGGCTCAGAAGCGAGCTATGCAAACACGAGGGCCATGTGATAAACGTGGGAAGCAAGACAATTAAATTGACGCAACTAATACTATTCTAATGAGAAACGCCCTAAGCCACACCCTTCCGAAAGCTCGGAAGCCGCACTCTTCTCTTGGCGGTGAGAATCCCCGATGAAGCTGTGACAAAAAGGTATGCATCACGTGGCCCGCGGGGATGTTGACGGGCGGTTTCGCTTTGCGTAGCGGAGTACTGTTGCCACCCTTTTGCAATCAGACATTCCCGTGACGCAACGCGTGGGAACGCCCTAAACGCATATAAGCGTGCCTTATCACTTATCAAAGGCTGTCATAGTTCCATCCGACATTTTTCTTGGTTGTTGAGTAAAATAGAATAAGAAACGGATGGAAACGTTTACTTTTAATGTTGCGTCATCATAACCATCAAAAAGCTAGTCGAACAATAACTTTTTTCTTTTTACTCCCAACCTTTGTAGTATTGTTGAATAGGCATGTGCTCTGTCGGAGCAGCACCAAAATTATCTTGCAGATAAACAAGAAAGCTTTCTAATGTTTCAGACATAAGGTTTGCGAGTGATACAGAAGAAATATTGGCGGGACAGAAAATAACAGAAACCCTTCTTCCTAAGGCGAAAAAGTCTTTGCCTCCAGTTTTCGTATCTGCTTTTTAACAACTTGACGGGAAGAGATATATACGAAAAATACTCGCAGTCGGGTTTTGCCCCAGGAATGGAAATTAAAGGGGGGGGGGGGGGGGGGGGGCTTTGAGAATAGGGGGGACGTTGAGAATTAAGGGGGTGCCTTCAAAAAAACAAGGGGGATGTAGGGAATTCACTGCTGTGGATACTTCGAATGAAAGCAATATTGTGTCGTAGGAACTACGAGCGATTTTTATTTTCGCTCACACAATGAGTGAGTGCAATCGGTCTTGCCAGGGTTTAATTAAACATGTAATTGTTCTTTTAAAAATATCTTTTCTTTTTTTTTTTTTGTAACGTCGTTTATTTTTAACATTTTGCCTTTCTATGACACAGTTTGATTATGTTGGAAGTTTGTACGACAGCACTGCTTTTCAACTGTAGCCGCAGTAATGTTTCGGGGCTGCCAGTTGCTTCTGTAAAGAAGGCAACTGTCAAGAATGCTTCTATACTCAGTTGAATATCCTCGGAATCGGCTACATTTAGGGGGAAAAAATGTATTCCCGTGTTTAGTGCTTTAACAGCGCTGCAGCATCCTCACAAATGTCACTGAAGGGACAAGCGTGATTCCGCCGTATGAAAAAAAGAAAAACAAAGCACGGAGCACACGCCGGGCAGGATACCGCGTACGGCGGGATGTCATTGATGGATACAGTACGCTCGCGCGAAGGCGGCGCACTCGGGTTTCTGTTCACACACCGCAAGCAAAAAAGAAGAGCGAAAATAATAATAATAATAAAAAAAACGTAAAAGTGTCGCGCGCGTTGCATGCCAAAAGGCGCACCCACGCCGCGCAACAGCAAACGCCTACGGTGGGACGTCCGACGAAAATTTTTTCCCCTCTAAAGCGCCGCTGGTTTTCAAGCTCACGATTCGCACAGTAGTAACATCGCAGAGACAAGGGCACACAAAGGACGGAAAAACGGAGCGCGAGAGAGCGCCGGCGCCGGCTTTCGTGGACCCAAAAATTACCTGTTTCCAGTAATCCATGCTGCCTTCCAGTCGATCAGCTCGACGGCGGGAATAATCCGAGAGCAGACGACGCGTCGCGTCGTCGTCGCCAACTGGTCTCGCGCACGGACGTTCAGCACTTGGGCCAGTTCGTCGTGGGCGCACTCCGAGGGCCGTCGAACCGCGGCCGCGCGGAACACTCGAGCTGCGGCCCGGCTTCGAGTACACGTTTAGTCCACGACAACGCGAGCAGTTAGAAGCGAGCCGCCAGCTTGGGCAGTGCTTTGTTGCGTGCGAGGCGGCGCGGCCGAAGCACAGACGGCCAACACCGGTTCTGGCACAGAGCGGCGACCGGCCTGGGCGGAGCACGTGACGGCAGGCCGACAGCTGGGAGACATATGGCGCCATCTGGGAGGTTTTTCCCGCTGCGACGGCGGAGTGGGGCTCGGTTTTTGGCGTTGTTTTTGGTGTTTGATCGGTGCGGTACCGACTCGAGGAGGCCTGCTTTCTCCTCCTGCGAGACTCACAGCCAGGGAACAACTTGGAAGTCTCTGCGGTCCCCCCCCCCCCCCCCCCCCCGCCCGCCTCTGTCCTCTTGTTCCCCCAGCCGTCTTTGTCGCCCCAAGTAGGGGCGGTAGTGGCGCGAGCAGGATTTTGTTTAAAACCCGAAACGCAAAAAAAAAAAGGCAAAATGAGAAAACATAATACTAATATATTAGTTTATTAATTTGATTTTTACATCGCACCAAATCGCCCGTACCTCTGGCGATTTGCCGTTCTAGATGTCTTATATGTGTAGGAGTGGCATTCGCTGGAAAATTTTATACTGTATACTACGTCCCCACGCAGCTGTCAGTGTGGCCACCAGCGAAGCACTCTTGTGGCTCTTGTGGTATCAGTCGCTGTTACCGTGCCACAATTATTAGGGGTATCCACACGAAGGAGAAATCCGCCCCTTTCCTCCGCGGAGCGCGTATCACGTGAGACATACGTCATCCCTTTTTGACGCCTCGCGGCGCCGTTTCGTCCGTGGCGGAGGCGCGGAGGCTTCGTGCTGTCAGCACGAAAGCTCCCCAGGTGCACGCGGCGGAGCCGGGGACGGAGTTTCCCGGGTTTTTGACGTCACGACATCCGTCCGCGGAGTTCTCCTTCGTGTGGATACCCATGTCCGTATGTCCGTCCGATGTCCGGCGTCGGGGGGTGCTCGTGCTCACGAGCACGTGAGCACGTGCTCCCGTGCTCGTGTAGGGCAAAAAGAAACAAACAACCGCATCTCCACGTGGTGAATGATGTTGATTGGGGCGAAGCTCTGGTGGTGCTTGTCTGCGTAGACGGTGAGCCGCAGCATGCCGAGCCTTTCGTTCATTTTCATCCATGTCAGAAAGAGAATGTGTGGTATAGAACGTGGTTATATACGCATTTGAGCAATTGACCGCAGTGTGACATGGATGAAAACGAACGAAAGGCTCGGCATGCTGCGGCTCAGCGTCTACGCAGACAAGCACCACCAGAGCTTCGCCCCAATCAACATCATTCATCACGTGAAAATGCGGTTGTTGTTTTTTTTTTTTTTCATAAGGACTATTAGACGGAAAATGTAACTTTACGGGTTCTTCTCGTCCAATTTTCGAGTTCCAACAAACATAAAATCGGAGTTTTATCAAGACCGACGTAAAGAAACGACGTTTAGCTGGGTGAAATTTTGTCACGATACATTGATAAAACGGCGAGCTTTTGTACGGAATTCCCGGTTTACAAAAATCCCGCTCTCAGCGACCTCGTGACCCAGGAGACGCCAAACTAAACACAACGCTATTTTGCGGAGGACTTCAAAATAATGGAAGAGATTGGCTTCATCTGTCACCGTCTTTATTTATTTTTTTTTTTGCATTTATTATTTATTGTTTATTGCTATAAAAAAAAGAACGTCTCCAGTGATGAATCCCGGAGAAATACTCACCGGCCATTAAAGGGGCCCTGCAATCATATTTAAGCTTTTACCTTTTTTGCGGTTTCCACGTCTTTTGGGGTGCGCGCAAGCCAGCGGGCACGGAGAGAGTAACTAAATATCAGTGCGTCATATTTTAACCAGACGACGCGGAAACCTCCTCCACCGACGAGGGCGACCCGCGGGACCGAAAGCGCGTGAAATATGACGTCTTTAGTCCTGGGCTCACTACTGGTCAGAGCCGCTAAAAGCTTCTTTCTAGTCGAAATAAAAAATATAAGCGGCGCGAACCGTTCAGTTTCAATTATTTATAAAAGTAGTTTTGGTGCAGACTTTTAGATCGAAACAAAATTAATACAGTTTATAAAGTACGGGAACAAGAAATGACCCGTCGACATACCCGCCACCAAGCGGTGGAAAAGGCGGCTTATACTAGAAATGGGTAATGGAATCAGGCACCGACGTGCGGCGGGCGTAGAAAGGTCCCGGATGTACTCGGCGGCGCTGCGGTCGTATACGGGCTCGAGGATCCCACAGGTTCCGAACGTCCCGAAGGCCTTCGGCGAGCAGGTTTGGCCGTTTCGCGGTATGGCAGCGCGAAGTGGATCCCGTTCTGAACTGATCTTTACCCCGAGTTTGCTGTCGTTTGTGGTCAATAAAGTGTCATGCCGAATTAGTGTTTAATCGCACAGCAAATGCAATGCAAGCCTCCCTGGCTGCCCGCTTCATACAGCCTCTCCAGAATATGCTTTAGTGGCGCCCTCTCGAGTCGTCGACACGGAGTGCGGCAGCCGTGAGCGCTCGCTGAGCTCACGACCCCTCCTCTAGTTCACGGCCACTCAAGCAACCAAGGACGTCATGAGGGAGGTTATTTTTTTTGCTTGTCTTTGTAATTCTAATTTGCCCATAACTTTTAAAATAAAGCGAATTTCGAGAAAAGAAAAGTTTCATTAAGTTACTACGTTCAGTGCGCTCAGGTTCGGTACAAATTAAAAACCAGTAAAAAAGTCCCTGCAGAGCCCCTTTAAGTGTATGTGGTGAAAAGGTCACCAATTATAGAAGCTGCCGGGCCCTGCGTAACATACATCAATTTATTATTATTAAAATTCGTCAGCATTGTAAAAGAAAAAAATCTTCTTTTTTGTAATATTTGTTAAAGGGCAACTCCGCTTCTTTTCCAGTAGTGCAAAACTATACAGTTCTCTTTGTTATCATCTACAAAACCCCCATGGCAAATATTACGACGGAATTCCGCCTAGAAGTTCATTAAAATCGCTGTCAAAGTTTGACAAGCACGAATTCGCTGGTTTTGGATGAGACGTGCGGGCCAGACAACACTGCCCGGCTGCATTTCCGCTTCCTCCAAATTCCTTCTCCCGGCACGTCCGCGACGTCATCAAACATGTACAGCTTCTTCTTTTTTTTTTTTTTTTTTTTCAATTTTGTTTTCTTTCTTGGTGAGAGCACGGGTGGCGCCAGCGCCGTGAAAGACGTGAGTGACGCGCTCGGCCGGCCCGGCGCTCGACTATTGATACTACTGATAAGCCGATCGCCTCGTTGAGCGCGGCTTGTGTTACATCCCATACTTTTGAACACCAAGTAAAAGGAGGAGAGGGAAGCTGCTTTTGTAAGAATTTTGAGTGACAGGTTAATCTTCTATAATCTTCTGGGAGGAGAATAGCGACGCCTGTGCTAATCCAGGAGGTACAAAGGAGGATCCTGATGAGAGGGGAGCTCCTTCTTCCCCTTGTATATCACGTGGGTGTACATGCTTAGTGATGCCGAATATACAATGTTGTCCGGCTTTGCCACCGTTTCGGTTTCGGTTTGTGATCATGGCTAGAGTAAAATTACACAAAAAATATTTTATTTTTCGCGAAACAAAAGATTGGGGATTGTTTTTAAGTGCTTCAAAAAGCCAAATCGGCCACTATCTCAACATTTTTGAAATTAAGCGGAGTTGCCCTTTAAGCTTATTGGGTATGTTGCTCCCAAATTAATAATTGCGAGCGAGTGTTTTTTGTGGTTTACTCTTGAGACAACGAAAGCCCAGCTGAAAACTTTATAAACTCGAGAAACAGGAAAAAGTTCGAAAACGCAATAATGTCTGCCCTTCAACGGGGAGTCACCCACGACCTTCAGAGCTGCACACTGTCACCGACGTTACTCGTGACCTATATAAAAACTAGACTTGTGTAAGGTAGCGAATTGGGCGGGTTGGTAAACGTTATACATGATGAAAATCGCACAAACGACGAAGACGGCGTGAAGATAACAAACACGACAGGACGAAGCTGTTCTCGCAACCAAAGTGTCATTAGGAGAAAAACAGAAAGAAAACAGCATAGCCGACACTGATTGCATCAACAAACACCTCCTTATCTATCAGGAATCACACAATCTTCGGAGCTGAAACGGTTCACACACTGCAATTCATATTAGCTCGCAAAAAAAAAAAAAATACTTTTTTTCTGACAGAGCTACCGACGGTGCTCTCTCAAGCTGTCACTAAATTGTCTTTTTTACGGGTGTCCCATGTTCTGATATTATACTTGCGACGTCATTAATATACAGAATGGGCGATAATTAATTTCTGACGAATTAGTAAATATGCCCAATAAACTTATAATAATAACATCTTGATTTCCCACTTACAATGGTGGAGGCCGAGAAAAAAAGCTGCACAAAACGGCTTGACGAGCTCTCGGCCCCCATTGCATTCTACGTGCAGTAGCGACAGGGCGAGAGAGAACTAAAAAAACACACACGCACCCCAAAAATATTAGTCGTCTGCAACAAAATGGCACATCAACTCACGCAACTCTTTCATGATGATGGTATCTACGTGAACGTCATTGTGAATAAAACAATTAAGCAGTTTAGGTAATCTGTAAGATGACGTTTCTTTTCCTAGGTTTAATCGGCAAGTATAGGTATATTCCAGTATTTAGGGTTGCGAAATTGATAATTGGGAACGCGTTGGTTTAAACCAGACGGTTCAATAATGTGAGTACGGTTACTGAACAATTCCTGCTTGTACTTCGTAGAAAGCCTATCATTATACATTAGTTAGATACTTAATATATAATACATTCTGAACAGGTTTTCTGTATGCGAGCAGAGCGGCACATTAGCACTTGTACGTAACATTCATTTTTGAAGTAAGTGTTATTATCTTAAGATTTGTTGCCGTGGTAGTACCCCAAACCAGGTGGCAGTAATTTAAATGATCAAAAAATAGTTTTATAGTTTAATAATTTAACGGACCTCGGAAATATACATTGATTCCGATATACCAGATCTACAACCTTTGCTAATTTATTTTTTAGATACTCAATATGATGGCCCCATTACATGTTTTGTGAAAACACAATGCCAAGCGTTTTGAATGAGTCAGCCATTTCAATATTTACCGAGTTTATATAAATGTGTCCTGATGGAGAAAT